AAGATAATAAAAGGCACATTTACCCTCTTAAAGCTGTATGTGTAATAATTAGTTATGAAAGCAGCAAAATGTAATTTAATTAGTATATTTATTTTCAGACAAAGTATTTTGTATATAATAACTGTACTAAATTAAGAAATGCTTTCAAATTGAGTAAATGATTGAGTAATTTTTGAAAAACTCTTTCATGAAACAAAAAGTTTAAATTTGAAAATTAAATCTTTTTTGGGGGGAGGAGGTGGCAATTTGGACTTTGGCAGCGTAACTAAATGGTTAATTATATTAACATAAATCAATGCTTCTTGAAGTGACATTTTGCTCATATTTCCATAGTCAAGTTGAGCTAAATTGACTTCTAATTTCAAAAGATTGACTGTAAAAATGGTGTTTGACCAATAGTTTATTTTGAAAAAGGTTTAGGATAAAATTAAAAATCTGCTTAAAATATAAAAAGACTGCCCACTCTTTTTATAAACTAACCCTTTTAGGTAAGTTCTAATTGATATTTAGAGAAATTCCGTTTCATCTGTGGATTATTTATTGTTAATGTGAAGTAAATTATTAAATAAAAAGGAATTATGTCAATAAGAAAACTTATTTTGACTTTCACCGGTTCACTCACTGTATACCATTGAATATGTATAATGTCACTTAAATAATATCATATTCATACTTTAGTCAGTTACATTTTTGCGTACTATCTAAACGTTTAAATTTCAAAAATACAAAACTGCATTGCAATGACTATTATTAGAAATACAACGCATGGAAAGGAAGTAAAAACTTGCCTTTGAACTGTTTTTTGGAAACTAATCTACAATTACATGTAGCTGAATTTTTATCAGTTGATTTCAATATTCCGTTTCAATTGCTTTTCAATTGAAAGGTCACTTAATGGGACGATACTGATAACTTTATTTCCTGTAATATTCAAACTTAATAACCGAAAACTTTGCCAACGTAGGATCTTGGTCAAACTATAGAAATAATATTTAGAAATAAAGTTATTGACTGCTGCTCCAAAGCCGAGAAAGGAGAATTTCTTCTAAAGCAATGACATTAATGTAACGAGATGGTAGGAAGGTGCGCTTGACTTTTCACAGTATTGATAGTATAACAAAAACTAATAAAGGACTTAACAATAGAGGAAGATTTTAATAAAAAAATATACATTACAAAGTTTGCTGATATTAACCAAAGATTTAATATGTTTATAAAAGGGCCATTTTTCTTAAATGTTGCCAATAGTTATGTGCATGACAGTGAACATAAATAATGTTCCCTGTGTATATCTCAGTAGGTTAAAAGATTGATGTTGCAAGCAAAACTTGAACAAAGAACTTCACAAAAGTTCACAAATGAGCACAAAAATCTCTTGGAATGTCATAGTTATTGGCCTTGGATTGTGATTTCCAGATTTGATTCAGTGGCTGTTGAAATTTTTATCATGTTAAACTTCAACTAAAAGTATAACGCCGAGGAAGATACCCGGGTGAGTAGGATAGGTACCTCCGGTCAACGGCTTAATAGGTATTCAAGAATTTCATTTAGGATCCTGTGAATGGGTATTGTCTTGATATACGTATGTCGTTACTTCTAGAACTTTGTTCAGTTTTATTTTGTTATAATGATACCATTTGAGGTTCGTTATGACAATTGTGTCAATGTAAATGTTACATTAGTGCTAGTCTGCTTGCTTTTTATCAGGTATCAATACTGGTAGTGTATGGGTATATGAAAGCAGTTAATAAGAAAGTTAATAGGCCAAATTTAAATGTTGCAAATTTGTTATCCTGTTTGACTCAGATTGTTTTCTTAATTCAGTTTTAAAACAAGATCAAATGAACACAGCTAATTATGATTATGTAATTTATATAAATTGATATTTTTAGACATAACCTTAGTGTATGGTTTGCAGCCGTAAGAAATTTTTCATGTTAAAAAAAAGAAACAGAATGAGGGACTTTAATTATGGTAAGCGTGACAAGAGGACCATCATCTCACAACAAGAAACCTACATATAAATTCATATCTGGTTCTCAATCAATATTTAGTCGAAATCAAACTAAGTTTTACTTCCTTTCTGAGTATCACCGGAAAAGGGTCATATTGCATCCAAAAATCCAACCGTATGGTAACGTATCGCTTAATATTATCTTGAAGCAAAGTTGAAATTTCATAGATGTTCAAAGAGTTAAAGTGTCCTTAAAAGATAAAAATTAAAGCGGTAATCTCTTTGTTTTGAGATTCGTCTAAATTTCACTAAGGTATGTATCTTTTACAGGATGTTCAATTAAATAATGAATTGTCATCCAAACTTTTATGATAGTGTGCTCGAAATCTGATTCAGTTTCGCCTTTTTAAGTTTAATAGCTTACACATTATTTGCTGATAATTCTGCTGATGATTTTATTTTATCGAAGGTTTTTGACCTTCAAATTATTTACTGTAACAATAGCATGATGCAAAAACCCACAAGTTAAATATTTATACGCCGGCAGTAGAATTGTTGTTAAAGGCAGGAATTGAAGTTACACAACTTGTGAAATATGTATACAGTACAAAAAGTAAGTAAGGACCATATCTAATGCAGGAAAAAAAGGAATTCTAACTTACTTTGATCTTGCGTAGTAACGATTTGTGGCGGACATACATAAAACTTTTATGTACACGAGGTCACAAAAATTGCAATGTCTGTATATCATGACCTTAAATTCGTAGAACATGAACCCCCCCCCCCTTCATACATTCTGTTAGTGACCTTTTACCTACTGATCTTAAAATCAAAAGGGTCATCTGTGATTGATGATCACTTTCCCTACCAACTTTAATGATCATAGGACAAAACATACTGAAGCTATCATCCAAAATGGTCTTACCATTTTGGGCCACTTGACCTTGACCTACTATACGCAAAATCAATAGGGTCATAAACCAGTGATGATTAAATGATTCTGTTTTAGCATTTTGGGTCACCGTGATCTTGTTCTTTGAACTACTGACTTCAAAATAGGGGTCATCTGCCAATGATGAACAATTTCCGTATCAAAGTGTGTGATCCTGCACTAAAGCATACTTAAGTAATCATCTGGAAATGGTTTTATTATTTCGGGTCACTGTGACCTTGACCTTTGTTGTAATTACCTTAAAATGAATACGGGTCATCTACCAGAGGAAATCAACCCCCATATCAACTTTTATGATCCTAGGCAAAGCTTACTCAAGTTATCCTTCAGATATAGTTTAAGCACTTTCGGTCTTTATGACCTTGATTTTTGGTTAACTGAACTCAAAATCAATAGATGCCATCTGCCAATGATGATCAACCTCCCTAAGAACTTTCATGGTCATATGCCAAAGCATTCTCGTTATTATCCACAAAATCGTTTTACCGTTTCGGGTCAGTGTGACCTTGACTTTTGACCTACTGATTTTGTCAAATTTAATCATGACGAACCACCATTTGAACTTTTGTGATCCTAGGCCAAAGCATAGATATTGTCCTGAAACGGTTTAAGCATTTTTGGTCACTGTGACCTTGACCTTTGAACTATTGACCCTAAAATCAATAAGGGTCATCTACCAATGATGACCAACCTCCGTATCAACTTTCATGATCCTGGGCCAGTGTTTTAACTGACCATCAGAAAAAGGTTGTACCATTTCGGCTCATTGAGAGCTAGACCTTTGACCTACTGACTTCAAAATCAATAGCAGTTATTTGACAGTGATGACCAACCTCCCTATCAACTTTAATGATCCTAGGCCGAAGCGTTCACAAGTTATCATCCGGAAACGAAAAGGTTATAGACCGAGAGACCGACATCTGCGAAACAATAGTCCTCTGTCTTCAAAGGGGGGGGGGGCATAAAAAGTAAGCTTGATAGGCATGGAAACAGGCAAGAAATTTTGTTTCACTCATGCGCAACTAGGTATTGGTGGTAATCACCCATGATCCAGAAAATTTGAAGGAAATCGGGCAATCAATAAATGATGATTTCAGGAGGCAATGCAAGTATATAGGAAAATACAGGAAAGGGCAATAACTTTGGAACAACATATTGGTAGTTTTCATTTATGAAAGTTTCAAGGTAATTGGACAATTAATGAATGAGGAGATGAGGTGACAGACAAACAGGACAAAAACATACAGGAAAAATTGATTCCAATATGGCTTGCACTTCGGATGGAGGTATAAATACAGCCTGATTATTAATCCAAATGTTCCAATTTAGACAAAAGACCAGCATTACCATAAATATAATTAGTTTCTAATATTATTCGTCTGCAAACTGCAATTTTATTGTAAATTTCTATTTAAACGCTATAATTCATGTTTTTAAAGTCCTTAGTACCAGAACCTCAAGATCATTTTGTTTTGGCCTTATGACGTCAAACACACATGCCAATTTTCTCCATGGAATTTTTATCTTATGTGTACCATATCAAGGCCGGCGTGTTATAACAGAAGTTTAATTTTGTTTTTGTCCGTCTTTATCAACATATATAATTGCTTTGGATAGAATGTCACCTGAGCCGTTATCGTCAGTCCTTGCTTAAGCCAATAAGTTGACGGTGTGTAAGTTGCATCGGTCTGAATGTTTAAGAAATACCTGGTCACGAATATAGTGAAACACCTTGTGCGCAAAGCGCTATTAATATCACATGAAATAACTGATAATGTTATTCCTGCACTAAAAAACTTTAGTTGATATACTTTACATACATGATGTAAGTAAAGGTAAAAAATTATTTTAATATTTCATTAAATTGCAAGAAAAATATTGAATTTGAAATTAAGTAAATGAAAGTGAGTAAAACATTTTAATAGCATATCATATAATCAAAACAATGAATGAAGATTTTAATGTTATTATACATAAAGGCTGCGTCCCCTGTCCTTGACAGATAACCAGCCAATCTGCATTTCTGTACTCAGACTGTGTCAAGCCTTATGACCCCCGGGTTATCAACATACTAATATGCAATACCAAGAAAGGAAGTTAAACCTACTTTTGTCATTTCATAACAAGAGATAGTTGTACCAGTACAGACAAAACATTTTGATCTGCGGTACTTGGCAAGCAGTGCGGATCTTTTGGTAAGTAATATTTAAAACTTTTGAAATTTAAAAACAATATGTTATATTGAGCAACGTTATTCTCACTATTTGTACTTATTTCCTACAAGTTTATGGTTCTATTTCTTAAATTGTAAACATATTGTGAAAGATGTGCAGGAAAATCTAATCTATACAACTATGAGAAGGAGGATTAAGATTACCAGATATAAAGTTATTTTAAACTTTTACTAAAGCTTGCTGGATAAAGATATTGATTTCAAATAAAAGCAATGAGCACTGAGCAGCCTTTTTAAGAATATAGTAAGACCATTGGGTGGTAAATTTATTTTTCAATGTCATCTTAATTTTCATGATGTTTTAAACATCTGTTAAACAAAAAAAATTTAAGAAATATTTTAATTTCATTATTTTCCATAGTAAAACCATATTGTATAGTAAAAACTTGATTTAGAAAAAAATATCATATGAAACAATACTGAGATAAAATAACAACAATTTACTTGAATAGATGACATGAAAAAAGCATGAATTATATAGACCAACTCTTGATTACCGTACAAAGGCCTTTTATAAAATTACTTTGACAAAACAAAACACATTTTTAATCTTGATACACAAGATTGAGAAAATATTTCACTGCATTTTTCTATTGGAATAAAGAAGACATTCAAATAGAAAAAACTTATAAAAAACAAAGTCACCAACTCAGTTCTTGTATAAACTTCATAGGAATACAATAACTGTTGAAAAACTAACTGCAACCATGAAATGTAAAAAATATTTTAAATTGCAATGAAAAAGATTGAACATCAATATTGAAATTATACCTTTAGTCTAATCGACACAAATCTTCGTAGTGTTAAATTCAAATTTTAATGCGTTTAGTTCAAACAAATAAATATCATTTTAAAAGCAAATTTGTCTGACTTTTTAATTCTTTGGAGATGTAATATATGGAACATTTAAAATTGAAATGTCAATTAACAGATTAACAATCCAACAGATTTTATTTTCTAAAGGATATGAAATAACTATAAGCTTAAGACAGGTTTGTTTGGCATAATAAGTAAACATAGTACTCTTAATTATAATATAATTTTAGTTTTGTGTACATACTTCATAGTTAAAATGAAATATAGCAAAATTATACCTACTTTTGAAATACAAAATGTATATATATGCCATTTCTCTCTTATAGGATTAGTGTTGAAAATCAATTCTCGTTAATACAAGATAATCGAAATAAATATGAATTAAAAAGGTCAAATTTCAATGATCTTAATTTTTACAGACCCCAAAACCATACAATGTATATAAAAATTGTAAATATGCATATACACACAGGAAAATAAGCGATATTCAACTCTTATATTCTGTTTGTGTTTTCTTTTACTATAAGTAAATATTTACTTGTGTCAAATATTAATATAAATGTTATTGTTCCAACAATGTTTTGATAGGGTCATGACTGACATTTATCATTCCTATTTGTTTTAGACTTCCATTTCTTATTTTCATATTTCGTTTATCATGTTAATCTTTTCTCTCTTTACATACGTTTTCCCCTCCTTTTCTTCTAGCAAAATCATTTTATTAGAAGATTTTAAGTTACAAAAATACTTGTCAGAATTTGATAGTAGACTTTATGTGTCACCACTACACAGTAGTGGCGACAATTAGGGATCTCTTCTCTCTGGCTTTCAGTTTGTCCGTACGTCACAAAATTTATCCGGATTACTCCTCAAAGGTACTGATGCAATTTCATTCAAACTTTACAGGAATGATCAAGTATAATTGTGCATATCGTCGGCACTTTTCGGCTCAATGATATTTGCCAAGGGTATGGCCCTTTAAAATGATTTGTTAAAAGTATGTCCGGACTACTCCTCTTATATCACTATGCAATTTCAATGAAACTTTACAGGAGTGATCTGTAGCTCATCAAGTACTTGTGCATACTACACAGATTTTTAGGTTGAATGGCTTTTGGCTGAGTTATGGCTATCATGAGGCGACGTATGTATGACTGATCGCTGTAGTATAAACGATGTATTTTGTTAACTATGATTTGAATATCTGTACGTTATGATTGCAAAATAAAAGAGATAAAATAGTCCTATGATAGGTAATTATATTGTGTAAGATGGAAGAGACCTTTTAATGACATTGTATTTTTTATTGTGACAGATTCTTAAGATAGTCTTATGACATTGTTATTCTATTGTGACAGATTTACGGGAAAGTCTTATGACATGGTACTTGTTATTGTGACAGGTGTACGAGATAGTCTTACGACATTTATATTCGATTGTGACAGATGAACGAGACAATCTGCAATATGACAAATTGAATAAACATGATATTTTCATTATTACTTAAACTCGTATGCTCTGAAACAGGTACACCTTGAAACAATGTTTTGTAAAAAACACAAAGTAAGTGAAGTTAAATGTTACAAGCAGTATTGTTAATTGAATATTTTTCTCCTACATTCAAAACAGTTTATTATTTAAGAACATCTATTTCATGATTAAAAATAGTCCATTTCAATAGCCTGACTAATTATTGACATGTCTTTTTCCATCCATACCAAAGGAAATTTATGATTTGCGATACTTATATCTCTAATGAAAAATACATTTAAAATATAATTTTAGACACACAGGCGATGAATCGGTTAGTTGTTGTTGCCATTGATTTTGGGACAACTTACTCGGGATGGGCGTTTTCATACAGGCATGAGTATGAACGGGATCCACTCAAAATATCAGCACAGACCTTTAAAGGAAATACTTTATCACATAAAGGTACCCTACTGTTGCTGTCAGTATATACGAAAATACTAAACAAATCTGAAAACTAGGATGAGTACATAATTAGCTGACGTATAATTTATAACAACATTTTCTATTCGATGTGATATCGAACCCAAAAGTAAATGAGAATGAAGACAAATATTAACCTATCATTGGTTATAATGATGGTAAAGCAAAAATCTAAAAGGTTTTATTTACTTAGTATTTGTTTATTTATTCATTAAGTTTTGTTTTGGTTTAACGTTGCACCAACACTGTAAAGGTCATATGACGACTTTCCAGCTTGACTGGTCAAAGAAGAATCCATAAAATATTTCAGGCACGGATAAGCGCCTAAAAAGAACTATCGACGTTTCATAATTAAGCTGTATAGCTTCTTCACGTGAATGAATCAAAATTCGTCTGCCGAATTTGAACCCACAGCGATGAGCGTCAAATAATTTAAAGTAAACGACCGTAACTACCTGGTCATGGACGCCCCTTAAATGTTCATCGTAGTGTTTTATATTTGTTGTTGGACATATTTGTAAATGTCTACATGAATCTTGGCAAAAATACTTGTATACATCATTTGATAAGTGATTTAAAACAACTAGGTACACACGTTTCACCATAAGACGGTATAAAGATTATAAATTTATCGTCCTACTTGGAAATCAAAAACGTTTGCTAAAGGTATCGTAATTGTTATTCATTGAGGAATTCCTAATAACAAATAAGTTAAGTATAATCTATGGCAAATTTGATCTGCAACAAATTGTTTCGATCATAATCAAATGATCAATGTATGGTTTTTAAAAATTTGTACGTGCTTTAATTGCCAACGTCCTATTTTTAAGTATCGGTCCAAATCAGATTGTCTATATCATGTGCTTGTAGAAATTATTTTGAAGTGTCTGTACAATCTAAACTATTATTTTCAGTTCCAACCTGCATTTTGATCAAATCTGACGGAAAAACTGTAGACTCTTTTGGTTATAATGCTGAAAATAAATATGCAGAAATATGTGAAGAGAAAGAACAACGTCTCTGGTTCTTCTTTAAAAGATTTAAAATGATGCTTTTTAAAGATAAGGTATGTATAAGGTAACATCCCTACCTACTTATCTACCTACCTTCCTAAAATGGGGAGTGTATGTGCATAAATTATGAAAGAAAATGTCAACAAAGAAACGGGACCTTCTTTCAACACAGCCACCATCCTACACAGACAGGAAAATACAAAAAATAGAGAAAGAGTGATCCCTCGGAAGCATTAATCACAACAAAGTTGCATGGAAAATGCTGATATTGTTCTATTGAGGCTATTTATGCGGTTTTCCTGTTGAATATATCTGATTTAAGTATGTCTGATTTTGTTATATACTAACGTATACAATTTCTTCCGTGCTCAACACTTAAAACATTACCGATAGAACTTTATTAGACCTTCACAAAGTGATTGCCACTAAGTACCCTGGTGCATCATGGTGCAATTTGTTATTACAAAATTGTGGCCAATTAAAGCTCACATCATATACAAATTGGCGGAATGCATGTTATGTGGCAATTTTCTTTATTTTTTGTCAATTATTTTTCATATTTTTATATAAAAATGTATTTGAAATATTGTAAAGAGCATTGTCTATCACATTACTGTACCAGGGCATGACAAGACATGATACAATTGAAGATGAGACTGGTAAGAAACTACCGGCAATAAAGGTTTTCAAGCTATCTATTGATTGCTTAGTGAAAGATGTTCTTGATACTCTAAACAATCATGTTGACTCTCGTATATACGTCTCTGATATACACTGGGTTCTTACTGTTCCTGCAATATGGAACGATGCAGCTAAACAGTTTATGAGAGAGGCAGCAGAGAAGGTATTAATATTATTAGAGTTAATATATTGTATATGTGGTTATGTGCTGTGATTAAATTGATTAAATTGAAAAATTATTGTACAATATTATTATAATAGTCCAGCATTTATCTATACAAGGTGTCTTATTAAATTTCATTCTTTTTAATAATAAAAGTAGGGTGTAGCACTTTATCTTTAAATCTTTGAACAACCATTACCTTGACTTACACCTCTTCCATTTTAGTTAAATGTTATAGCACTAGATCTTTACGCAATTTTTGATTAAACACAATTTACATATTTTTGCCATACGTATTTGACATTAGAAACTATATAACTATTTTTCCTGCTCAAAATATTTGCTTCAAGCGGTATAATCATATTTTTCTTTTAAAAGGCAAGGATTCCAGGAAAGAACCTTTCCATATGTCTTGAACCAGAAGCAGCCTCGGTTTATTGTCGTCATCTTCCAGTTTCTAAAGAAGTAGCATCGCTTGGCCAGTTTTCATCAGGAACGAAGTATCTTGTTCTGGATGCAGGAGGTAATGTTCTAAAATGAACTACTGTAAGCTGTAATGTTAAACGTATTTCCAGATTTAGAAAAATATTTTGTTAATGAAATTATTCCATTTCGAAAGAAATTCCGTTTTGATTATCTCTCGAATGAGCGAAACACGTTGTTCCTAATCTTGAAATGCATTTCAATGATCTATTACAGGAGGTACAGTTGATATAACTGTACATGAAGTGACAGACCAGGGAAACTTAAAGGAACTTCATAAAGCAAGCGGAGGTGATTGGGGAGGAACTAAAGTAGACGAAGCATATGAAGCGTTCCTTACAAGTATTGTTGGTAAGCTCAAAAAGTTGATAGATAGAAATCATTTCTTCAAAGAATTCATCTTGTAACTTACCATTCGTAAAGAAATTAGAGGTATATTCATCAAATTATGCTTTATAGAATTTATACACTATAGGATTTATAAAATATGCATATATTGATACTTAATCAATTTAAAGTTGATACAGGTACTTTTCTACTATATTTTAAACATTTTGTTGTGTACGAACTATTCAATAATTCGGACATGTCACATGCATAATTTGTATTATATACAATGAAATGTCGATGAGGAAAATTTGCTACTACTTATAACAATAACATGAATTTCAGGTCCTAGTATTATTTCAACATTCAAAACGAAACATTTGGAAGACTACATCGAACTTTGCCGTAACTTTGAAAAAGACAAACGACAAATTTCTCCGACGAAACGAGACGGAAAGGTGACGATGCGTGTAATACCATCCCTTTCTAAACTTTGCAAAGACTTGGCAGGACTTGACTTTACAGAATTATTTCTTCAGTCAAAATTCAGTAGCAACAGCAAAGTTGTGGGTGACAAGTTGAGAATAAATGCTGAAGTCTTCGCTGAGTTTTTCAAACCAACCGTTAGCAAAATAATCAGTCATATTGCAGATTTACTGACCAAACCTGCTGTTCAGGGCTGTGCTGCCATACTCATGGTTGGTGGGTTTTCCGAATCACCTATGTTGCAAGAGAATGTAAAGTCCTCCTTTAGAAATATGAATGTTATCGTTCCAGACGATGCAGGATTAGCAGTTTTAAAAGGAGCTGTCATCTTTGGTCATGAGCCTACAACAATAATTGAGAGGATATGTAAGTATACATATGGGTATGCAACAAGTCATAGGTACAATGATAGATGCAATCATCCAAAAGGAAGAGTTGAAAAGGATAGAAATGGTGATCTACGATGTTATGATATCTTTGCTATTCATGTAAAAGCTGGACAGTCTGTCAAAGTGGATGAAGAACAACCAGAAAGCATCGGCACTCTTGTTACCGATGATCAAACTTCTTTCGTCGTCAATGTATATGCATCCTCTTCAACAAATCCGCGGCTTACTACAGAAGATGGATGCAGTCTCATTGGAAAATTAACGGTACCTATTTCTGACACAAGCTCTGGAAGAAAACATGAATTTGGAATACGTTTTATTTTTGGTGGTACAGAAATTTTTGTTAAAGTCGTTGATAAGGAATCCGGTGAAATTATGCTAAAATCTGTCGATTTTCTTGGATAGAATTATACCCAACTAAATCAGAACACATGACAGACATTAATATGTTTCATTGTTTAATTTGTTTGCTAGCATGAAAAAATATTATTCTTCTGCGTTCATATCACAAGCTTTACATCATATTGGTAAAGATTGCTATTTATATATTATATAACTTAACTCTGTAAAGCATTCCATTTTCTGTCGTGAGACGGCATTTGAATGCATTTGATATTGCAGCATCCATTAGTCTTACTAACTATTGCATGATTTTCTTATTATCATACTTGTAAGTTAGAAAATGCACTGAAACATGTGTACCAAATGATAATACAAACTTCTGAAATCATTTAAACTCTTAAATTGCTACTTATATACTAGTGAAATGCAATAGATAAGAATTTGTTTCTGAATAATTTTTCCATTAGTATGATTGAATTGTATTCAACATTTCCTTTTGTGCTAGAATATATGTTTATTTTAAGTCTTACATACATGTATTAATCAGAAGAAAGAAACTAACAAAAAATTATAAACTATTATATTATAAAAAAAGTATATTGTATAAAAGCAAAATAAAACAAAACAATTGTTTCTGTTGTACCTGCTTCGTAATGAATTTTAATTAAATTTTACCTGAATGTTTTCAAAGGATTTGCTCTGCAGTCCATTTCAATACCAAGGGGATTTCATTATCAAAATATAAAATTGAGCTACCAACAGTAAAGAGTCTGTTCAAACTGCACGAATGTGTAGCTAATTTGGCTCTTTAATATGGAAAAGGCTTTAAAGTTATCAATTTCAGTTCCAGTTGGTTATGTCGTTAACATTCATACCTTTGAAAGTAATCCATAGAGCGACCTTAGAACCGCTTCTTGTACGTTTATATATTTGTAATGTACACGGTCGTTTCGTAAACATTTCTGTAATATGACATTTTAATGATACTTTTAGCATTGACTTTTTTTTTATTCCTTTTTTTTGATTCAAACATAAACACGAAGCAAATAATCAACATACACACAGGATATTATTGAATAAGTAAATAGTATTTTGCGAACAAACTGGTAAATACTTCTTCATTACCCATGAAAGCTGGTTAGGTGGATTGACTGCCTAGATACGGCAATCTGCGTAAACACATTTTGAAAACATGGACCTACTTATCGACGACTTAATACTGTTGGAAGGTGTTTTTTTTTTTTTTTGGGGGGGGGGGGGGATTTAGATAATAACATCCTTTAATTCTTAAAACCATTCCAATCGCACAAAATTGCATCTAACGCCAAGGCCCCTTTGTAAAGGGGTCAGTGATAATCTCTAGAGTATCTTACAATTGCAATGCATTATATACGGTATGCAAAAAATTATGAATCATTAATATAAATACTTCTTAAACAAGATGTTTTTAAGTTTATAAACACCTGTAGTTCATAAACACCTGTTGAAAAATGTTCTTATTGATCATTATGTCATTTTTTACCCATAGACAGCATGTCTCCAGACTGACAGAAATCTTTTGCAAACTTTACGTACATGTTCAAATTGTTGTTGATTGTACAAAATAGTGTGGTTTTCGAGAAGTGAACACAATTTGCATTTAAGTATGAATATAAGCACTCTCTCTCTCTCTCTCTCTCTCTCTCTCTCTCTCTCTCTCTCTCTCTCTCTCTCTCACTCTCCCTCTCTCTCTCTCTCTCTCTCTCTCTCTCTCTCTCTCTCTCTCTCTCTCTCTTACACAATAACTAGAGTTTGGAATGAGATATTGTAGTAAAATTTAGTATATAGCAAGCTTATCTGAAGACTCTAGTTTGGATTGTATTTGGATTCCCTTGGATCAAGGGTCACTGTTACTTATATAGCAAAATGGTTTCAGGACAATGATAAGAGATAGGAATGAGACTTTTAATCAAACCTTTAATACAACAAGTTTATATGAAGAGCCTAGTTGAGATTACTTTTGGACCCCCTAGGGTCAAAGTCAATATCACTGTTTCTAAAAATAGAAAATTAGTTTCGGGACGATAATATTTGTTAAGAATGAGTTATTGTCATCAAACATAGAATATAGCAAGCTTATGTGGACCCCCTGACGACAAAGGTCACTGTAACTAGAAATAGAAAAATGGTTTTCGGACAATAACTAGAGTTAGGAATGTCATATTATAATCAAATTTAATATAAAGCTGGCCTTTTTGAAGATCATGGTTTGAATGGTAAGTAATACTAAATAGCTCTTTTTACACAGTTCAAACTTCATAAATTAAAGGTTGAGTTCAAATTTTGCTTCAGACCAATTCTTTTTCAAAAAGTCAAGGTTGCTGGTTGGGGTATTTTTCACGTTTAGTGATAGTTCTAGTTTGTATGTTGGTTTTTTTCTTGTGTTTTTTTTTCCTTCTTGGGATTTTTCTCGACAATTTCTAGTGTAAATGTAACAAACAGAAAATATCAATATTGCTGTCTGATGGTAATAATCTAACTTCATGTTACATTTTCTCTCATGAGCAAACTCAATCAATTGTTGTTGTTATTATTTCTTCCGATACATCACTCTTTTTCAGATATGTATACGATTAAATAGTTCTCGGGTATTTAAGATAAGCCATCACCTTTCATGACCAATTGATATACATGTATCAATACCTACTTTTTGTTATTTTGTTACATTGTATGTTCTTGTGCTACTTAATGAAATATTTACATTTGTTTTCCTCACAATTGTCGAGAGAGAGAGAGAGTGTGTGTGTGTGCTTGTTTTCATATTTTAATGCAAATTATGTGAGCTTCTCAAAAACAACTCTATGTTGTACAAAAAAAACAGTTTGAATATTTACTTAAATTTTGCAAGAAATTTTCTGACAGACTAATAACATTTTGTTTTATAGGTAAAAATAGAAAATATTGATCAATAGGAAAAGTTTTCAATAGGTGTTAATGAGCTTAATAATATCTTGTTTATTAGTGCTTTGCATCTATGTGTCATATACTCACACAACTTATATTTATGCATATCCTATATACTAACACTGCGAGTGTTAGGTACATGAGGGATTATCACAAACCCCTTTACAAAGGGAAGCTACGCCACTCGTGAGAATACTGTTTTTAATAAAATAAAATTTCATCTTAGTCACAAACAAACAAATATCATCTATGCAAATACACATTATTGTTCGAAAAATTATTTTGCATATATGTGTGACACCGAACTTTGAATTACACAAGTGTTCTTAATGCCAGATACATCGGTCCTTATTCAAAATAACATTGTTATATTTCACTTTTTTCTTTAGACAAATGTTGTTCTTATTTCCCGTTTCACAATTTTGAACAATCATCCTGTCAAGCATAATTTGAACGGACGTAGTAATGCATCCGTTATATGTCTTTTAACATGCATAACTCTTCCATTATAAAAAACTATGTCAAGTTAATCACAAGAATACTCACCGAGATAAAAAAAAAAATATTTGTGTATTGATTCAGAACGAATTGTTATGAAAAAATACCCTAACAATGGCTAAACATATCATACTTCTTTAGCTATTGTTCAGTATACTTACAACAACAGTAAAAACACTTCTCCTGTTCATGCCTGTATGAGAACGCTCATCCAAAGTATGTTGTACCTAAATCAATGGCCACAACAACTTGTTTGTCCATCGCCTGTTTATACATAAAATTATCATGTAGTATAAGTTTAAATTGAGGAATGAGTATCTCAAAGAAATAGTGATTTTATATCAAGGTAGATATTTTACAAAATTAAATCATGATGCGAAATGTGAGTAAAAAGGCATGTAATGAACAAGTCATGAAGAATTAATACTCTGAGCATTATTTGTACTTTCGTTATTATTTGCATCTACATTTATCATATTGACATAGTCTCATTATATAACCATAGTATTTTTATCAAAATCATGTTTACGTATATATATTTTAAGCTAGCATCACCACTACTGTTTGTGATGACAAACGCATCGCATTGAGTAATAGAACTGAATTGAATGAAGAGTCTCACTGCAAAGAGGCGTTCAGTACGAATAATCATTTATGCGTATTGTATTACAAAGAAATGATATTGGTACTAATATTGTTCATTGTCTTTTTAAAACCTAAAACACGTACTGAAATATATTGGACGAGTGCCTCTCTTGGTTCGATTTTAAGTTGCATCAACACTGTAGAGATCATATGACGACTTTCCTGCCTTATTGATGAAGGAAGACGTCAGATGCAGTGGTAAGGGGAAAATGGTTTGAAGTCAATGACATTAACCACTCGGCCACGGACGCTCACGGACAAGTACACAGTTGCACATCTTAAACTTTTTTAGACGAGGCACTTGGCTATTTGTATTTGATGTTGTGTACGAGAATACGAAATTACTAAACATCAAATAACGACTGATATTCTAACATCAATACTAGTAGCCATTGGTTACATTAATTTATATAATTTGTGAAATAAATGATATATCAATCGATAATTTTAAAATTTAGAATTCTATTTAAAATCACACTTATATTCAATGGTCTTACAAAGCAACTGTTTTTAGCTGCTTGAATCGCAAAAGTTTACTTGCTTCAAATTTGTGACAAGTGTATGTGTAACAATTTATAGAAGACAAAGCGTATTTCAAAATAACAAATACATGTTTTCTTATTTTTAGTTTGTTGCAGATTATCTCGGATATCTATCCCGACAAATTCACAATGTCAGGACTCAACAAAAAACCAACAACAGTATGTGAAGAATATTAAATCATCGAAACAAAATTTGGATTATTTATATTCAACATGTATCATCTTATTTGAAAAGTACAGATCAACGTTAGCGCAAATTATCAGATAACGTTAGTGCAAATTATCAGATAACGCATTGTATTTATTGTCTGCACTTAAATATGCTGATAAAGACAAAGTTCAACTTCCTTTCTTGGTATTTTGCATCACGCTGATGTAAGATAATTTGAAGGTCAAAACCATTTGAGATATGATAAAATAAGGGCAAAAATATCAGCATGTCTCGTTTGAAATGATCGTGATCATATCGTATCCAAACACTTTATACTAATGATAACATATCGCTTAGTAATAATTTTATACCAAATCTGAAATTGTATAGATTTTCAAATGGGTCAATGTATTATTTCTATAGTTTCACTAAGATCCTACGTAGGCAAAATTATCGGTTATCATGTTCGAAGATTACAGCTAATAATTAATACGTATCGTCTCATCAAGTGACCTTTCACTTGAACCTAAATATGGACAAGAAAAGAAAATTTTAGCACCATGTGCTGTGTGTTATTTTCTTAAAACAGGGTAAATGGAAGTGTTTTTTTTTTCCCAAGTATTGCGTTTCTAAAATTAGTCGTTGCAAAAGAGAATTTAAGCGTTTGCAAAATGTCCACAAATATAACTTACTAAAGTATGACTATATTAAAAATCCTTGATAAATATTAATGAAATTTACGTTGAAATTATTAAATATAATTTCCACAGTAGCTGAAATATGT